GCATAGCATTGCGAACATACTTTGACTGCATACCTAGATACCACTGGATATTCACCAGAGAAGACACATTGGACATCATATACAGCATTTCCAGCGAGATTAGGAGTGCAGGAGTTTCGGTCTTAGGGACATTCAGCGATGTGATTGGCTTAGTACAAATGTGTAGTGACGCACTGGGTTGGTAGAGTCTGCCTTGTCCTTCTGGATCACTCTTCCACCTTCAAGGCTAGGTACAACGGTAGCGGTTTCTTGGGTGTTACCACCAACACGCATATGAACACTTCCAGCCCGCTCCGCCAGGAGGGAGATGAGATTCAGGAACGGGACTTGAAGATATGTTCTTTTTATCGGGCCAAGTTCTTTCGTCGATATACACTACGGCATGCTTTGAACTCTGCACTCACGAATTGATTCCAACTATTCAGACAAGACTCGAATTACAAAATAGGAACCTGACAATCCATGATCGGCACTTACTGAACTGGTTGATAACGGACATTTCCATGGAGAACCCAAAGAACGAGCCCTTCTGCGGGATAGACAGACCAGGCATATTCTGAGCGTTTTGCGGTAGATTGATAGGGAACGACATCGGCGGGGGAGGCGAAGGAACGGGCGGAGGGGCGAGAATAATCGGGTTGAATGCTGCAGGCCCAGTGAAGTTGACGGGGTTAAAGACCGCAGTGCCTGCAGCTGTATCACTGGTATACACCAAGGTCGGCCCAGCAGAGCCAGTGGCGACCTGCAGGGGCCCCTGAACACCATAGACCGTAACGGCGCGCGCCCATGGCAGGCAGGACGCAGCCAGGAGGAGGAGAGATACAGGAAGCATTAGCTGGTATGTGGTACTTGCAGAACATCGCGACCACCCTCCGAAGGTAGATAGAACCAGGCGCCACAGGTCCGCGCCCCCAGGTCCGGACGATGAGCGGTTCCAAGGGACATCAGCGGTGCTACTTCGGGCGTGCATACCTGTGTTGCACGCTCGCTTGCAGCGTATCTGCACTGTTCTACTTCCCGATGTGACCGCAGGTGACCTGGGCACATGCGTTTTGATGGTTAGCCATCCGCTTGGCGGGACGAAGTCAGTTCAAACACATGCAGGACGTTCGTGAGTGTGATCTTGGATCAAATAGATGATCTCCAGGATGGGATTGTAGCAACCCATTGTTCTATGCACCGATCAAGTCGGACGGCATGCGAAGGAGCTTTGCAGTTTTTGGCAGGCGACCACCTGGCAGCAATGCCAAGGACAACTGTAGGGCGGCAAATCAGGCATTAGCACAATCGATTGCAACACCAAGTTGTGCATAGCCTCACCGTGCCTGATGCAGCGCACACCAACATCCATCAAAGTTACCCCCGACATCAGGAAGTCCGTAAGACGCCCACAGCAGCTTGGCACGGCATGGTACTGCGGCAAGTAAGCAGGTCCCCGGCAGTCAGGATATAAGACCACAAGTTGTGGGGCTCTTCCAGCCAGATTCTCACGCTATCCGGGTCGTCGCTTCGAGCAATGAAGAAGGTCCAGTACATGTTGTACGTGACTGAGTAAATCGGTCAGTATTCGTGAGTAACTTTCGAAAGTCTACTCACCTGTACCTTAAAGCCGTTTGGGTTCATCCGAAACCAATCTTTGGAGCACACCGGCCGACTCAAGCTCAAGGGGCACGCCACAACATAATCACAGTAAACCAGTTAATTCTCATATTCCAACAAGATAGCAGCAAAAGAGCATGATCGTGATTACGCGCACTGACAACAGCGGTGATAGGGAATGTAAAGCTGTACCTACAGCGTCCAACAAGCAAACAAGAGCATCCGTAAGTCCATCCGTCGGCCGAGAGTCTATAGCCGCATCGCGGCAAGTGTGTCGTCCTAGCGTCTTACTGCGCTGGCGAAGACGTACATGCCCGCAAGGAGCGCGATCAGGCTCGCGATACCGGGCGCGCCAACCGCCGCACGGCCCGCGCCGCTCGAGCCCTTACTCGTGCTCGTGAGCGAGTCGCGGTCCGCGCCGCTGTTGCCGTTCGAGGTGGCGAGCACGGACGCGGGGACCGTCGCGGTGTTCATCGTCTTTGTCAGCGCGGTCGTCGCGAACGTCTGCGTCGTCGACGGCTCGCTCTCCGCGAACGCCTCGTCCGTGAGGAAGACGACCGCGACACCGGGCGCGGGCACGGTCACCTGGCACGTGTTCTGCGTCTGGTCGCAGGTGATGGTCTGTATTTCTTCGTCGCCTGAAAGACGACCGTCGGCCGCAAAGCGGTTACCGAGCGTCTGAAGGATACGCATTCGTCAGTTCAGGAATCGGAGAGTTCGAGGCAGTCGCAGACCTGGCCGGCCCAAGTGATGTTCTCCTTCACTGCTACGGACTCGGCGGCGAGCATCTTGACCCTGACGCTTGCGGGGGTCGCATTCGCCTCGCCGTCGACGCCGCCGACCTGGATCGTGGTGGTGTACGAGTTCGCACCCGTAGGATCGGTCATGAAGTTGATGAGCACAAGGCGCGCAAGCTGGCCGTTTTCCCAGATACCGTAGCCGGGAGTGTAGATGTTGCCTTCGTTCATGTTGAGGTCGAGCACCTGCGACGTGCCTGATGTACCAAGCGCCTCAGCAACGACCAAATTAGCGTAGAAAATCGGTCCGATGGTCCACTGCTCGAATTGGGACATGTTCGTGGGCGGAGCTGTATGTGCGAATAACAATTCGTTCAGAAGATATCCCATTGAATGTGATCATGCTAGAGAACGTACGTGTGAACGGCTGCAAATAGCAAATGTCAGCGTCAAGTGCAGAAGCGCTCAAGGATCCACGTACGTTGTACGAATCGTCAACACCACCGACGTGCATGAGCGCGCCGGTAAAGTTGGCGTATGCCATCTGCAGCGCATAATCGATGCCCCACAGTGCGGAGCCGAAACTGTCACTGATACCGGGGAATCCACCGCACGACGCCGTGTTCGTCTCGAACATCAAGAACGGCTTGCCATATTGTTGTGCGATGTTAGTCGAGTCGATGTATGCGCCTACAATGTCCTTGCCCGCGTTGTGGTTCAGGTATTCGGGGAAGACCGTCTGCGGGTCCTTCGGCGCACCGAACCCGGCGTCCGGGAACGCGGCGGCGCAATTGTCATCCGGGTAGCTGGGGAGCCGATTAGTATTCTATAACGTCAAGTCGCAGTTTGTTCTCACTGTTCGACCGCCAATGCGCCAAGCGAGTTCTGATATGCGGGAATGAAGCCGGTGTCCCAGACATCCTCAGGGGACCAAGTGCCAGAGACACTGGGCGCAATAAGGGTGTTCTTGACGGGAATGTTGCTGTCCTGACCGATCGCATTAATCACAAGGCCGAACTCCTCGAAGTAGTTCGTCTCGTTCCAGCCCGGCGGACGGTGGTCGTGGCTTCACATACAATCAGCACTAACGTACACGTCGCATATAATGGAGACGTACTTGACGTAAAGATCGGGTTCGTTACCGAGCTGGAAGCCAAGGATGTTGTCGCCCAGAATCGCCTCGCCGTACTCTGCAATCTGCAGTCGCAGGTTGCTCGTGTCGTTGAAGGGGATACCTAGTGCAGGATGTTAGAGCTACGCTGCGCTGTGAAAAGGTCCTACTGACCAAGATACCACTTGACGTTAATGAGCGCTGACACGTTATTCATCATGTACATCAGCTCTGGTGTCAGCAACAGTGCAGGTGTTTGCGTCTGGACCAATTTTAGTGGCATGAACAGACGCAGAAGACATTAGGGTACCGACCGGGTTGGTGGAATCACCCTTGTCCTTCTCGATCATCTTGCCGTCCGGGAGACTGGGAACCACGGTCGCTGTCTCTTGTGTGTTACCGCCTACACGGATATGTACACTGCCACCACGTTCCGCGACAAGCGCCATGAGGTTCAAAAACGGGACTTGCAAGAATGTTCTGATGTTGCGTGAGCCGACGGCGGCGCACACGTCGACAATGACACTCACGAGTTTATGCCGACTGTCAACAACACTCCTGTGAGCGCAAGCTCCGCAAAACACGTTGATCGTATACTCACTAACTTGTGTAACGACGGACATTTCGATCGAGAAGCCGAGGAAGGACCCGTCTTGTTGGATCGAGAGGCCCGGCTGGTTCTGCGCATTGTTTGGCAGCTGGACGGTGAATTGTGTGGGCGGTGCTGGCGAAGGAATGGGAGGGGCAGCCAAGATGACTGGGTTGAATGCGGCGTCGCCAGTGTAGTTTCCAGGATCATTCACGGCGGTCCCTGCGGCGGTATCACTGGTGATGGTCGCGCTCGCAGTAACACCGGCAGTGGGGGCACCCTGGAGCACGCCCTGCACGCCATATACGGTGATGGCGTGGGCCGGGGAGAGGGCCGCCCCCAGGAGGAGAAGCTGGAAGGGCAGCATTGGAGGTGAAGGGTATCGACAGGAGAGGGCTTTGTATGACCTGGCTCGCGCCTCGATGCACTCAGAGCCGTTTCGTGCAAAATTCCCACCCCGCCATCGCTACCGGCACGCGCCCGCAGTAAGCGCCCCGCCTATTTTGGGCATTTACTTGCGTCCCAAACAGCATGCCGCCTTCATGAGCGTACTGCACACCAAGATCGTACGCAGACCCGCGTCCGTCTTGATCGCACAAAGCCAACGGTCTGCTCGTCGTGCACGGAACAAAACGCGCCACTTCGTCATGTCGCGCCTGCACCCGCCCAAGACCGCGCGCATACGATATCCCGCATGGCCTTGCCTAGCCCGACTGCCTTTTACGTCCGCAATTTATCGAGACTTCCAGTGCAGAGAACCGAGGAGAGACTTATTCACACCACGATATGGCCGCACCATGGCGCAGGGGACGGGCGCGGGTTAATCCCCGGAGCCCCGCGCGCTACCCCTGCGCCATCTTCTTGTGTTTTCGCCTTGTGCAGACCTGGATAACATTCTGTGGTTAATGTCAGTAGAAAGCCAGGAGCCAGGTATTATATTACTAAGTACGACCTCATGTTATATAGCAACATGGCGCAGGGGTAGCGCGCGGGGCTCATATAACCGGTCACGTGACTGGTCAATCGACACCCCGAGGTCACTGGATCGAAACCAGTTGTTGCTAGTAATTTTTTCCCTTTTTTTGAGAACCAAAGGGTTTGGGCGCGTAAATTGCAGACCTTTGAGAAGCTCTCCTTACCTGGTTACATGCGGCCGCGGACATGGATCACAGAGGTTCTAGCTTCAACTGCACTACCGTTCAAGATGTTCCGTGGAGTGTAACGAGGTGGTTGCCGATATACTAATGCTCCAGTGCAGGACTGAAGCTGCGTACGCATCTAAAGACATTGATGGCATATCTGAGCGCTGGAACGGGTGGATATATGCAGACCTGGTGAACCTACCATCTAAGAGCGAGCCTAGTGCGGTGACGAGTTGATCGCGTCGGCGTGAGGCATCGGCGCCGAGCTGACGGAGGCGAGAGCAAGCGGGGTGGAAGAAGGGAGAAAGAAAGGTATCTAACTCGACGACGCAAGTGCCTCTCTTATATATGCGTCCAGCGCTGTCGTCTTCGGCCGATCGTGGGCTACTTATGACGAAATCGAAGTTGTTGGAATGACGCTGATGCCGTAGAAGGAATACAATGGCTTCGAAGTTCAATGACAGCTCTCGATCATGACAGCTCGACACACCACGTATGGTAGGTGCCCTTCCATATCGAGCTCGAGGTCGTCCTTGCGACCGTGTATAGGCGGCACCCCAAGAGGCGTCACTGAATCGATGACGTATATGCATGAGCAGAAGCCTGTGATTATCCGCAAATACTGACTTTCGGGCACATTTGCGGGACCCACTGCCCCGCCTGATATGTCCGGGCTTGAGCCTCGCAGAGGGAGAGGCACAAATTGCCTAAGCCGATTTGCAAGCCATTGCTTCGAAGAGTATTCGTGTAGCTGTGACTGACGAAAGGTTGAATAAGCCAACGAAAGATTGAGAATCATTATGAGTAAAAGTCTCCAGACGTTTTGTGTTTTGCCACAAGCTAGGAGTCGCCGCGGCGAAATTCGACACACACGGCGACCAAAAGATACCAACAGAATAGTCGGCCTGTTCATTACCATCCCCCACCTTTTGCTACAACTCTACGGGGGGATGGTACCCTCTTACCTTCAATCGACCACACTTTTGTCTGCCTACGGGAGATTAGGATGATCCTCTGAAACAATTCGTCCAACATCATAGGACAACCACGTACGCTGATGGTGGGAGTACAGCCACGTGCCGGTCGCGTCGCGATGGTGGCGGAACTCGAAAGTCTGTGTGATTTCCGAAGTCGAGATATTAGAATATGGACAAATTCCAGGACATGGTGGACAAAATGATTCCGCGGTGCGTATAGAGCTGTGCGCAGCTCATTGCAGTCACCCAACATCCAAACAGTTCCTTTGCTTTACTTCTTGTGTCGCAGGACGCGCGCTCCGACCTTGGTCGGCTCCCGGGAGGTGGACACAATGTCGTTATTACATTGACAACATATGTCGCAAGAAGACATCCGTAACAAGCGGAATGAGCAACATCTCCCCAATCTCAATCCGTCTGATCTCGGAGCTCAGGCGGGTGTAGGTCAAGAAGTCATGATCGGCTTGATCCAAGCATTCCTCAAGGCCTGGGAATTAGATGCTTCTAAATTGACTGACACTCCAGTCCATACAACGATACAGATCATGATGTTAGATGCTACAACTACAGTGGAGACCACAGCCCCTTTTGAGAAAATGCGATACCGGCACCGGACCGCAGCAAGGCACAAATGGGCGCTAGGTGCGCTATGAAGCCTCGTCCGTCTTCGCCTTCTTTGCAGGTTGAATTGTAGGAACAGCCTGCCCACGGACACCGACGTCGGGGCCGCCATCGGGCTCTATAGCCCGCTTCCTCTTCTCGCCAGCCTGGTCACCGTCAGCGGCCGCAGCTTGTGTCGAGTCGCCCTTCGCCTGGCGATCTCCGCCGGCTTTGCCTCCGCGCCCACCTCGCCCACCGCCACGTCCACCGCGTCCACCACGTCCACCTCGACCTCCGCCGCGACCTCCACCGCGACCTCCACGACTTCCACCACGCCCGCCACGCTGGGAAGAGGACATGATCCGCTTCGCGGCACCAGCGGCCCGCTCATACTGGAAGGCAAGCTCTGCCTCCTCTGGATGAGCAAATCTGTCAGAAATGTCACTATAGATGAACGAATGCTCTCGCACCGTTCGGAATGCTCCAGGTGACCTCCTTGCCGCTGAGCGTCTTGAGGTGCTCCTTGACGTAGGTAATATCCTCTTCCGTGAGCGGCTTATCAAAACCGACCAGTCCAGAGCTCTCGCCACGCGTGTATTTCACATATGGCGAACGTTGGAACCGCTCCTTTAATGTAGCCTGTACAACAGTGTTCAAGACAGGCTTCATTGCACGCGACGCGCTACTAACCTTGATCTCGTCGAAACTGACATCCTCGCCGCATCCTTCGAATTTGAGCGATGCGTTCTTGACAAGGGGAACGTCATCCTTCTGAATGCTCCCACCGTCCTCCTCGTGAACGCGGATCTTCTTGCCCATGAACTCGAGCCAGATCTCAGGCTTGCCCGCCTTCTTTCCCTCCTTGTCCACATCCGGGTTCTTCTCCTTCTCCATCTCCCGGAACGCGTTGAAGCCCTTGCGGCCCGTGCCCGCGATGCTCTGCTTCTTGATGATCGCAGTCTTTCCGGTGAGGCCCTTCTCCTTGATCTTCATCTCGCAGTAGGCTTCTCTGTAAGCGGTGCTTAGTCCGACGGAGGCAATCTCATGGTGCTGAGAATAAATCACTTTGTCATAATAAGCAGCTCCTGGCCGTTCCACGTAGGCTTCGGGTCGGCATTCAAGAAAGCATCCACAGACTTCTCATCTGCGAACTCGACAAAGACAGAACCCTGGGTAGGTATGTTGAGCGGGGTGGCTTCGCGGGCTCCGTAAATAAGTGTACCTTGAATTCCTTGGTAGTTTCCACACGCCTCATACGGACAGCGTTAGTTTTGCCGTACTTGTCGAAGAACTCCTCGAGGCGCTCCTGCAGTCCAGGCTCTTCGCTACCGAAGCCTTTCTATTTCACGATGTTTGAACACGCAAAGTACGTGTCATAAGGCACCACTCACAGCGTAGACACTCCGTTCAAATTGACCCTTGGGCTCCTTGACCTCCGTCCGGCGGCGAACGTTCTCGGCCTTCTCGTCCAACTCGAGCTCCTCGCTCAGGCGCAGAGCCTTAGCCACCCAGTCGACACCGAACGACTGGAAGTCGCGCATGCGCTTGAAGGAAGCGACAGTCTTGATTGGCACCCAGTGCTCCGGGTTGGCGGTGTGAAGCGTCCACATAAACCTGCGGATGCCGGTACATCAATCCGTGCACCGAGATGATAGTGCATTTGAGCTACCTGTCGTAGGGAAGATTCGCATCCGCAAAGTAGAATTCAACTGTCGCGTAGATATAGTTAGAAACAATAGTCAGCCGAAACAAGTGACAAGACGCACACTGCTTGACTGCTTTCAGCATCTTGTCCTTGTCTTCTTCCGCTCCCTCAGTGCCTGCTACCGCCGGAGTTTCTGTCGGAGTAGCCACCTTCACCTCCGCTGCGGGAGCAGGAGCCTCAGTCTCAATGGCCATGGTCTGATCTTCAGGAGCAGCGGACATGGCTCGTAGAAATATGAACAGTAGATGAAGGTGGTCTAACAGTACAGGATCCGACAGAAAAGGAAGACAAAATAATATCTGCGCGCATTTTGCCAGCGCCAAGCTTATCGCGTGATAACCCCCCTTATCTTCTTCGGCAGCGTTCGGCTGCGAGTCGGCGACCAGTAAGTTGGCTCTGCTCTGTACTTATTCGCTGAAAACTCGCATCCGCTCCTCCGCCATACATACTCTCACGTCTGGTGCCTTGCTTAGTTCCGATACTAACCGTCCAACACATGCTATCACGTTTAGTGTCAAGCACGTATTGTCCGCGACCATGGATTCCAGGTTGTGTCAGGGTCAGTCCTAGTACTCGGGCTTCTGCCTCGCTCAAACTGCGGCCTAATCATCTGGCACTATTGCCTTGGCAAACCTGGAATAACATATACCCGGGGTCCTTTGCTGCCGTGGTGTTCTCACCGATGCGATTCTTTGATGCTCTATAGGTCCAGAAGTGCTTCTACTTTGGCTGGTCACTCGTCCAAATGACACGAGGTGGGTGACGCGGAGGCCCGATTTGCTATCGATCCTATCTCGATGGGTGCGATGAATCTCCGATGGGTGATGCTCTCGACCATGCCTTCCCCAGCCGTCTTCGGGGCCTAACCAGATACAACCTCCTGCACCACACCCAATAGCTTCTGACCTCCTGGTGCCCAATGACCGCGTACCTCAACCCTATGCCGCAGTTTCCGCCGCATACTTCCCCCGATCGCACGGACTTCGAATAGCGTCAATTCACTCCGTGGGCTCGCGATGCCCCATCCGTAACAATGCTGGCATGAGGGCCATTCTAGCCTTATACGCTACCTGTCCATGGCTTTCATTCCGTCCATCCAGTCGTTTCGGGCGAAGGTTCGCAACTATTCGATGGTCAGGTGTCTTTCAGAGGCTGGTACCTGCGTTTTCGCGGCTCACAAACGGGTCGGGTAAACGGGTCGTGCGCCCTCCTGTTGGCCATTCTCTGTCTTTTGACTTCCTCCCGATTCCGTTCGTTCGTCACCACCAGAGTTTCCAAGTGGAGGTGCTTGCTGCGGCGCAGGCTGAGGCGGTAGGACGACCTGCACCACAGATGCGCGTCTCGATAGTCCCATCGGGCGTTACAAGTCGCCATTACCATGACGAGCGAATATGATTTATTGATGCCAATACAAAATAATGTGTTATGCAGATGTCAGCCACCAACGCAGTCGACCTTACTTGAGGTTGCCTCGTGTCCAGCACAAAGGTTGGCTGTAAGGTGAATGGTCTTGGTTCATGATCGCGTCGATACCTCAGATGTCTTGACATATTCCCGAGTCTTCTCACCCAAGTAGACATAAAGCGCAGGTCAGACGAGCGTCCGGCCATGGGTTCTGGTGAATTTGAGCGATCCTCTGA